ACTTCACACAATATAATTATTACCCAGTAATAATTTTTTCCATACACTACTGTGGTCTTAGTAAACTCACTGTCCTCATCTGTTGCCCCCAGCTGCACTCTATCTCCCATCAGGCCAGTATATATGCATCCCTGGTTCACTCGCTCTTTGCCAGATTGTTCTTAGTAACATGCAAGACTTTACAGCGTTCATCTCCAACCTGCTCCCTAATGCACGGCACCGCTAGCCCCAGCCTTCGGGTCCACGAACTTTCCCCTGTGTGTGTGAGCTCAGTCACCTTGCTCCACTCACCTGACCCATGGCTCTCCAGCCCCGGACCCCTTCTTCTACCCCTAATACCCACCTGTGTGTATTCTCTCTTCTGGTTCATGATTAAAGGTCATTACCAATCGTACCTGTGGTGTGTGGTGCTGCAACTGGGTCCTACCAATATCCATTACAACCAGTACTGTGGTCTCGGTAAACTCTTTTAAGGTTGACTTGTCGGTGTACCTCCAGCTTTCTATTACACCTTAACTGTCCACCATTTACCTCAAGCTTGGATTAGTATGCCAAAATCTCTTATTTCACCGTTAATATTTTTGACATCTCTAGTAACCTGTTGGGTTTGTTTTGTTTTTTTTTCTTTATTTAGAAATCAATTTTCAGATTCTCACAAGTTAGGATCTTTGATCGCAACCCTGAGTAAGTCCGGTCTTAGGTCCTCTGTCTCACATGTCTTTGTGGGAAGGTTGAGGCTGAAGATTTGGCTTCAGGATGCGCTGGTCCCCTTTGACTCTGTGTCCAGACACCCTCAGTCAAGCCTTCCCACTTCTGACACCAAGTTTGTGATGGAAATCTGATAATGAACACCTGACAAATGATCAAGTTGTCTTTATATATTTTAATAAGAGCTTTGCAAAGGATCAGTGTACAGCCACACAGAGTGCAAATGCAGACTGATATTGAACAAAGAGTGAACATGAACTTTATAGAAGAAAAGGAAAGGAGTCAGGGTGTATGTGTGTGTCTAACACATCACATAGGGAATGTTACTGAACTTAAAATACAGTACCAGTCTGATTCAATCTCTTAACACTACGAAGTTACCCTTTAAACTTTAACCACCTCATGAAATTGGAATATTCACAGGTCTTCTAAACATCATGTCAACAGAAATAACACTATTCAAAATATCCGTCAGGTGTTCAGGGCCCTAACATAAAAGTATCATCGTACAATGTACACACATCTAATATTATGCTCCTTTCACAGCGCGGCATTTTCTAACAGTGACGTCATGCACAGCTCTACACTCGCGCTCTTTTAAACTCTATACTAAACACTTAATTACGTCAACAAGCTCATCACACTCATGCTACATTAAGTTTAGCTTAGGAAACACTTGTTTTTTTTGTAATTTTTGCAGTGTACTGACCTGAAAAACAAATGAAATGTCCGGAGAAATGAAGACATGAACCAAACGTTTCTCTTCCCAAGTTTTCTCTGAGGGGAGGGGGAAGCGTCCCTCACCTTAGTGACCTGGGTGCAACACCACCTGAGCATAATTGGTTCCGCTCTTCTATCATCTTATAGACATACATTTTCTCCTAGCTTTGTCTCCTAACAATTGTAAAATTAAACTATTTTGGGTCTCAAACTCAATACTGAAATGTTTGTGTTATTACAATTAGCAAAACATTAATTGATATGATAGAATGTAAACAATACTTTCAAAAATGCATACATTAACTCATCACCTATTTTTGAGTGTACCACACACAGAATGTTCAGAGCTATAGTCAATTACATCATCGCTAGAGTGGGAGAAGCTCTAGAACTCCTCTGAAAAAATTATTTTTAACTCATCCTCACGGCCACATATTTCAGTCTTCACACATCACGGCCTCCTCAATAGTAGAGAAATTTGTCCTGTTTCATACAATGTGTCTACCGTAGCACAGAGACTTACAGAAGTTTGAACATGAGCCTCAAAGAGATTGGAGTACCTGCCACCTTTCCTGTCGACTACAATACAAATTCAGGAGCTGATTTCCCCAGAATTGCAAAAATGACATTTTTTAGTAACTCGCTCGTGAACCACATTTTTATCTCAAGAAAGACCAAAGCCAGATATGCAGTGCACGAAGGTCTTGTGCCCATCATGGTCCATTCATGGTTCTGATCGGAGTTACTGTTTTTTCACAAATAGCAGTAGTTTGATTACACCCAGATCTGTGTCAGCTCTGTCTTCCACCTAGACACAGGTGTTAGAACCAGCTTTTCGTTAAGAGGCTCTTTGATCTCTGTTATGTTTACAAACACAGCCCTACATACACACACACAGACACACACACAGAGGCAGAAATCGGTTTACAAGTTAGTGCTCATAGAAAGAGATTACAGTTCATACTGGACAGTACAACAGTAAATACAGCAGCATACATATTGAATTTACTTTGAGCTTTAAGCTACAGGAACTATTCAACCATCATAGTAGCTCCCCAATACACTGATAACAAACAGCAGGTCTCAGCAGGTGACAGTAGGCTAAATAACAGAAACATCTCTGTATAATGTAATATACACTACATCCTCCACAGTGATCAATTGAATCAACAACTGTTTAAAACTATTTTGATTATAAATTGCCAACTGAGTGAATTAGTAATTATCAGGTGTATGCTTAGGCTCCAAAGTGCCTAACTGCAATTAATTGGTTGATTTTGTTGCTGTTTTCACCTGGTAACTGATATATCTGGTAACCTAAAGTTTGTCATGGTTTGCTATGGCAGACACCTTTTGTTAGTTTTGTTTGGACTTTTTGCACTTCCTGTTTTATTTTGTAATTGGTTTCCTTATGTGTCAGTGTTTTTGCTTCCTGTCTTGGTCCTGTGTCTGTGTGGTGATTGTCTGCCCCGTCCTAATGTGTTTTACCTGTGTTCAATCACCCTTGCCTCCCTTGTCTATATAGTCTTTGTGCTCCCCTTTGTCTGGGTCGGTTTGTCACTGTTGTCATTGTTGTCTCTGGGTTTGTCCTTAGCCTGTTCATGTCTGTTGATTTCTGGATCTTCCTCAAGTTGTTCAAGTCTGGTTTGTCTTCAGTCTGTTCATGTTACCTGTTGTCATCCCGTGTGGTTCCCTGTGCGTGTGTTAGTTTAATAAACCTGTCTGCACCGTCTCCCATGTGTTGGCTGCATTTGGGTCCAGCCCTTACCCCTCAAACCCTGACAAACCCTGACAGTTGTGACAAAGATGTCCTTTTATAGTTTCATGAAATATTATCACCCTATACATATTTTATCCCTCCCTCCCCCATTTTCAATGTAATGCGGTAACACCGTGACTCAGAAACATGATTACTTTGTTCTTTTATCTGAGAAAATTTTTACACAGTGATTTACTTCTACCAATGTCTTTTCACTAATACTAGTTCACATTGAAGTGGTGACGTGCTGACGTGCTGTGGTCAGTGTTGTGTCCCATCTCCAGTCAGTTTCTGTTACTGGTAGAGTTTATTGCTGCTCTTTCTGAACACTGTTAATATTGTGGTTTTCTTTCTTGCTGTTAATCTGTCTAACTACCTGCTGTATATTCAAACTTACACTAGCACTTAGAGCTCTCTGCTCCTTTTAGCGACTTTCACTAACTCAGCAGTTGTTTACATGCTGTTTAAATCTGCTAGTTACTTTAGCTTAGCATTTAACATTAGCTTCTCTCTCTTTCCCTCTCTCTCGCTCGTTCGGTGTGGTGTTGTAACTGCAGCAGACATCACACACACTCACATACAGACTTACACACACACACTACTAACGCAGTGTCCAGGGAGAAATGGACAAAGCAGATTCTTATTGGTTAATTAGACTCATTACCAATTAATTGGTTGGTTTCATTGCTTTTCTAACCTGGGAACTGATATATCTTGTAACCTAAAGATGTTCTTTCATTTTATAGTTTTATCATATATTATTATTATTATCAGCCTATAACATGTTTAACCCCTCTCCCCATTTTCAAATGTAACACAGTAACACATTTACTCAGAAATATTTTAACTGACTTTATCTGAGAATATTTTTACACAGTGATTTACTTCTACTGATGTCTTTACACTAATAGTAGTGACGTCGTTCACTTGTTGACGTGCTGACATCAGTGTGATCTTGTCTCTCTCTCCCTCTCTCTCACTTGCTCAGTGTGGTGTTGTTGTAAGTTCACTGTAGAGGATTGTGATATTTATTACATCTTCAGCGATGCCTGCTGTCTTTAGGTACAGCTCTGCTCACTAACCGGAGCCAACTGCGCACTCTAATTGCCATCTCTGAATATACTCCTCAAAAAAGTCAGACAAGCTCTTTTAAACCCCACAATTTCCAACCTTCATTGACAATTTTTATATTAAAAATGTAGAAATTTTGTTTTGTATAATATATTTTACAGTTTTTGAGGAAGTGATGGGAGTACCCTCCACTTCTCCTATTGACTGCAATACAAGGTGTTACTGGGCAGAAATGGGCAAAGCTGATTCTGATTGGCTAAGTAAACTCATTGATTCTTAGTCTTTTAACTCAGGTGTGAGAGCAACTCTAAGATAAATCAACACGGTGTATTAGCATGTATTTGCTTGTACTTGTGTGTGCATGTTGATGTGCGGTTCTTTGCATGTGTGTACATGTCTTTCTATAATCGTGAGGACAATTTTGGTTAAAAACTATTATTGTGTGGTCATTTTGGCCGGTCCTGACAACTTCAAAGGGCTGAATAAAGGTTAAAGACACACAAACTCCATGACCATCATATGGATATTAACTGTGTAAGTGTCTCAACCTGGTAACACAAGCATTTTGGAGGCTGTATCCTCCTAAGGCTTAGCGGCCACATACGTGGACAGCACTTTATAGCTCTTATGTCCACAATCGTGTTCAATGCTGAATTGGGGGTGTTATGGACACGTAGGTGGGCACTTACACTGCCATCTGGTGGTGTCAGAAGAGTATAACATACTACGGTAAAAATTCAACATGGCGGCAAACATGACGGAAGATTCAATCGGCCGCTCCATACACAAACATCGACCAGGTAAGAAGTCCTGCCTTATTTTATGGCTTATTCTTATTTAGATATTTATAGAAGCGTTGGACGTTTGTCATGACAAGCAAATTTGGAAAAAAAAGTGTAAAAATAAGAACGTAGCATGACGCTAAACATGATGTACACGTATGTGTACTTATGGACTAACGCTCCTCAAAACAGCTAATATACTAGTAAACATGCACACATGTAAAATGAGAAAATAAGTAGAGTTACAAGGCTGTACATTGTCTAAATGTAATGAATAACAATTCAATCACTAAATACATATATACATACATAAATTAGTTGGGTTAAAAATGTCAGTAAAATGTAATATGCTAGTAAACTAAGCTAGCTTGCAGCTAACTCTGGTGCAGCTAAAATCTGTACATTGTACAGTACCATTGAAATAATTTACAAATAAATAATGCATGAATGACATTGATTTGTATTTGATTTTGTCATGTTTTTATTTCCAGAACGTTTTTCTGTGCAAAAAGCTTTGGAGCTACTTGGGTTAATTGATGGAGACAACTCAGATTTAGAATTGTCTGACAACGATGATCCCATCCTGGATGAACATTACCAACCATCACCACAGGAGGAAAGCAGCAGTGAGGATGAGGGTGACAGTAGTGATGATGAGGAGCCCATTCCCGAGCCCACTGAGCATAGCAGAGGACGTAAAAGTGTCTGTGGTGCAGATAATGGTTAGCCAAAACCCAGTAGATTTTTGTTTATATTATGTAGTTAGGGCCTCAGGGCTACATGAAGGATTGGAGGCAAAATGCTTATTTACAACACTTGTTGGCAGGTTCATTGTCAGGGACAGAGAGTACAGGGACAGGTTCATCCCGCACTCCCAGACGTCGACGTCGAACTAAAACAGTTGAGACCGACAGCTCAGAAGATGACTCTGAGGAGCCAGCACCAGGACCAAGCCAAACCAAAAAAAAAGAAAAAGGGAGAGTCCAAACAAGGTAATTGTTATTATTTTAGCATGCCTTGAGGGTAAATCTTCAAATTTCATGTAAACGTCCACACAGATTCAAGTATTTCATACACCAATAGGCCTACACCTCATTTGCTTACATGGGTAAAATGTAACTTACTGCAATACTATTTTATTCTGATTCTGGTTGTGCAGGACGTGGAATACGCTGGAAGGCTACTCCATTGACGCCGAACCTCGCAGAGTATCAGCATCAGGATGAAACTGATCTGGACAGACATGGCTGGACCCCACTAGACTATTTTGAACAGTACATAGATAGAGATCTGATGACACTGATTTCAGAATGTTCTAATGTCATGTCACTGTCTAAGAGTGGGGACCCACTCAACATGTCAGTCAATGAGGTTTACCACTTTTTTGGTGCCTGTATTTTGATGTCCTGCATCCGATATCCAACCATTAGGATGTATTGGTCCAAAGCCTTGAAAATCACTGCCATCACTGACAGATTCACGCGTGCCAGATTCTTCAAACTGAGGGGAGCAATAAAAGTAGTAATTGATGATGATGTGCCTGAAGACCTGAAGATGTCTGACAAATTCTGGAGGGTGAGGCCTTTTCTGGATCGGATTCTGCGAGGCTGCAAGTCTCTGAATCGACCTGATTGCGCATCAATTGATGAGCAGATGATACCTTTCACAGGAGCTTGTCCGTACAGACAATATCTGCCAATGAAGCCAAACCCAGTTGGCATAAAGAACTTTGTTTGTGCTACAGCAGATGGCATTGTGCTTGACTTTGAGCTCTATCAAGGTACAAATTCACTGATGGAGAAGGTCGAAGAACCCGAGGGCCTGGGTTTGGGAAGCTTAGTCATTGAGTGTCTGTGTCAAACTCTGCAACGTGGCACAAAAGTGTATTGTGACCGGTTCTTCACCACCATCAAAGGTGCGCAACAAATGATGGAGAAGGAGCTGTACCTAACTGGTACAATAATGAAAAATCGACTTGCTGGAGCGAACCACAAGTTACCCTGTGACAAAGCCATGAAAAGCGCAGGAAGAGGTACTTCATCAGAAGTGTCCGCTGAAGATGGAAAGTTGTGTGTAGTGAAGTGGTACGACAACAAACCAGTATTGATGATGTCTGTTGTTCATGGTACACAGCCTGAAGACACCTGCCAGCGCTGGGACAAGAAGTTGAAACAATATGTCACTGTTTCGCGACCAAGCATTGTCCGTGAGTACAACACCAAGATGGGTGGAGTTGACTTGATGGATAGAATGATCAGTTACTATCGCATGAGCACCCGTACTAAGAAGTGGACAATGCGGATGGTAATGCACTTCACGGATCTGGCTTTAGCCAACAGCTGGCTACTCTACCGCAAAGACCATGCAATATGTGCTGGACCAAAAACAAGACCCATCCAGTTCCTTCAGTTCCGTATGGAAGTAGCAAAGATCCTTTTGGCCCAGCATCACAGTGCTGACCTATCGGAACAATCAGAGGAAGAAGAAGATTCAAATCAAGCGGGAAAACGTCATGTGACAGAGTTGCCCCATGTCTCAGTCCGCAGAAGGGCTAATGCCCACCTCCCAGAGATGATTAGCCTGAAGAATGCGATGCACTGCAGACAACCAGGCTGCACCGGAAGAACCCGAGTGCGTTGTGTGACCTGCAAAGTGTTCTTGTGCTTGCAAACCGAACGCAACTGTTACTCAGACTTTCACACATAGGTGATGGCAGTGATTTTCAAGGTGTGTACATGTTCCTACAGTGTACATGTACTCTTTGTGACATTAGGTATGTGTGTGGGTGGGTGGGTGTGGGTGTGAGTGTGTGTGTGTGTGTGGGTGGGTGTGAGTGTGAGCGTGTGCGATTTGTCACATTCCTCCTCATTAACTCTTCTCTTCTTAAGTTCTGTGAAGGTCACCAGGTGACCCCTGGGCCTCCGTAAGTAGGGGTCCTTCTGTCCTCAATGATTGCACCCTTTCACATATCCTTTTTTTACATTTAGTTACAGTATGGCTCATGTGAAATACAAAATTTCACATGAGCCATACTGTAACTGTGACTGTCAAAAAGGGGCAACATTTGTTTCTTTTTTTCACTATGATGTGTTCTCATATTTTTTTCACTATGATGTTCAAAACACATTAGTAGCCTGATGCAACTGTGACAATTAAAAAAATGATTTGAATGTTTTATATTTTGTTACAGGCATACAATGTCATCCTGCAATTACTGTTTGCAGCTTTTCAAATGATCCTTGCAGTAGTTCACACTGTCCAAACGGGGCAAAAATGCAATGTTTCCTTGTTGTTTTTACTTTCTAATATTCAAAACATGTTCAAAAATGTGTGTGTATGTGTTATTAATACATGCAAAAGCAGTCAGGAAAAAAACTGCTGTGTTCAAGGTGGAAATAAAGAGTTTTTCATTCTATTACACAATGGTGACTTAATTGGGTTTTATGGAAATTCGGAACTAGAGTCCACATATGTGGACATCATTTTTCTCTAAAAGTACATCATATCAAAAGATGATTCTTAGTTTTTATTCTAATTAGGGTCCAATAAGCCCAAATAGCAAAGAGAAATAAAAAATGCATGTAAAAAAAATGCCTGGGCCTTAGGAGGGTATGGTAGACAGCTCTACTGCCACACACAACAATACACAGATGCACATTGACAGACACACACAAACATCATCTTACTTTTTTGATATTCACCTTCAAAATAAGAGTCTCAACCAGGTAAAAATAACTTACTGGAGGTTCTGTTGGACAGCTCTACTGCTACACACAAAAACACACACATTGGATTAACCTCCAAAATAAAAGTCTCAACATGGTAAAAGGGAATTATTGGCTGTTGTATAAAACCTCATGCAATTTATACTGCCAAACACAGACACATAGACACTTTCAAAATAAGAGTCTCAAAAAGGTAAGAGGTAAGGTAGGTCATAAAAGTTCAATCTTAGAAGCTATTGTCCACATGGGGATATAGTGGTATAGCGTTATTGCAGATAAACGTCTGTTAGGGCATGTACATGCATGTATACATGTCTTGCTATGGTTGTTGGCACAAATTTGGTTTTGAAACCATCAGTGTGAGGTTATTTTGGTCACTCATGACAGCTTCAAAAGGCTTTTTGAGGGACACCTAAAGTGACTGAGGTTAGTGTCAGAATAAGTCTCTCATGAATGAAACTCAAAGTAATGTCCTTTGTATAGACATGAGGAGTGAAGTACATGCACCAAGCAGCAGGCACATTCAAAATTTTTCCAGGAATTTTCTGTTCATTTTATACTATGCCATGTTGTTGGTCTGGGCCAGAGTATAAGTCTGAACCTCTTCACCAACAGCTGCACATCTACTGGAGTCCCAAAAAGTTCAAAGAATTCACTAAAGATGGTCATGCTTCAAAGCAATAGAGTTTATTATTTCACAAGAGATCAACCTGAGCCCAGCACCAGTGACCGTACTGAGAACAGACTGCTTGAACATCATCTTTAATAGTCAGTAATGCCTCCTTCTTAGGTGGAATCTCCACAAACTTTTCTATAAAAGAACCAATCTTCACCCTAGAAACAATGGCGTCATGTGTTCCCTGGAATTCTCCAAACCAGACATTTAATGGTGTCCGATCTTTCTAGAAATCCCCCAACTCTCCCAACCTGGGCTTCTCTGGACATCATTATTTTCAGGGACTTTCAGATCATATTTCTTTTAAAACTTCATGCTTTTTTTGGTTACATCACTCTTTTCAAGTTACATCATTCTTTTTCAGGTTACATGTCTCAGCAAATCTTCAGCAAAGGCTGGCTCACATGCAGGTCTAACTTCTTAGTTGTGAATAGGGGAGAGTGGGGTGAGTTGTGCCGGGGGGGGAGTTGTGCCACCCCTGTTTTCTAGAAAACCATAGAAGAAATTGGTCATGTGACCACCCCATTTTAAAGAGGCATCCATTTTACTCACCCTGTGAAGAGGGGAGGCACATGGGACAAGCGGTAAGCACATTAAAGTTCAAAAAACTGTTTTTTGTCTTTCAAAGTGAAATTTTTATGATTGAGGTTTATTGATTGTTATTTCTGAACAATTATAGACAAGCTTGAAAGCATTTCACACGTGTTAGTGCTTTAGTAAGCTGCAATATGAGGCTATACTGTTAGCATGATGTTACCTCTAAAACTCTGGATGATACAAGTTTGTTAAAATGGTGGGGATGGGGTGATTTGTGCCAAAAGGCCTGGGTTAAGTTGTGCCAGTGGCACAACTCACCCTGACTTATGATTATTATTAACATATTGTTTGGTTTTAGTTGTACATTGTATTCTTACATTTTATAACTCACCCCAACTTATGATTATTATTTTACATATTATTTTACCACAATTGTAAATTGTATTCTTACATTTTATCACTAAAATGATGTGACCTTTTTAATTTTCTATCTAAAGCCATCATGCCACGCATTTATAAAAAATAGACAAACAAGGGTTCAACTCCTCTTGTGGATTTGGACAGAGCAGTGAGAGAGGTGCAGTGAGAGAGGTGGCTCCTCATCACACCTTGATGAGGCGCCATCAACCCATGCCACAAGTCCTGAATGCCCATCAGCAGTTCCAGACCCAGGGGAGACACCTGCCACGCTGCCTAAACTGAATCCTGAGCACTCATCCTTAAGTGATGAAACTGGTTCTCCTGCCCATTCAGAGTATGTATCTCCAAAAGACATACTTCCCTTCCCTAAAGTGACAGCAAGTAAACTAAGAATGAAAAGAAAGAAAGTAAAAACCAAAATCCTGACCAACACACCAGAAAAGCTGGAGCTGGAGAAGGCACACAATGAGAAAGGAAAGAGAAAGGCTGAAAAGGAGAAGACAAAGAATGAAAAAGAGAAGAAACAAGCTCTGAAAGGATCAAAACAAACCAAAACCAAGAAGAAAGTGGTTGTCTACAGTAGCTCAGAAGAAAGTGACATAACCACTCCGCTTAACGACACCACTGACTATGATAGTTCAGAAGATGTACAGAATGATGATAATGGTGACAAGGATTTGTGTGCAGGTGACTTTGTCATTGTGCACTTTGCAGGTAAAACCAAATCCTATAAGTACATTGGATTGGTGGAGAAGGTTGAGGGCGCTGACATAAGTGCAAAGTTTCTCAGGCGAAGTCAGAAGACTTCTTTGGATGGAAAGCCCATCTTCACATTCAAAGAAAATGATGAAGGACTCATCCCAAGAAGTGATGTGCTCAAGAAACTTCCAACACCACAAAAACTTGGTGGTACAGCCAGAAGGGAGCAGAAGTTCATATTTCCCTGCAGCATTGACAAGTGGGATGTCGAGTAGTATGCTGGGTCAGTGAGGAGAGTTGCAGTTGATTAAGTCCTCATTTTGTTCTTAAAAATTTAAATAGACCTTGTTGAAGAAGATTGCAGCAAGTGGGATCTTGAGTAGTAGCCTGACTCTGTTATAATTAGCCCACAGTTGTTTTTTGTTCATTTACAACTTGTATAATGCAGGTGAATTGGTGTTCACTCTTAACAAAAAAAGAGGCCTTGTTTGTTTTAAGTGCTGCTGTCTTTAAATAAACATTTTATAAGTAATTTGGTGTTGATTTTTTCTTGCTTTGATACAGTATATGAGATGAAAATGTTCTGTTTCACTTCAATAATCAATGGCACAATTGACCCCAATGTAATTTCTCCAAAGGCACAACTTACCCCGCACTGGGGGCAAGTTGTGCCAAGAGACCACTTTTTTTTGAAAAGCCATATTTTTCAAACAGTTTATTTAAGAGCCAAAGTTATTGTTCTCAGTGATGCACAACATCCTGAAATATATCTACATATTCAAGTTGGAGGCATTACTGACATGCCCTAACTTTAAAGACACCTCAAGTAAAAACTGGCACAACTCACCCCACTCTCCCCTATAGCTGATACATTAAGTCTATAAGTTTAACATTTAGTATGTTTATAATGCAAAGAATATTTTATTAATGCAGGGTTACATATTTAATGAAAGTTTACTACAACATTTCCCCCCTTTGGGACTATCTAGTTACACATTTTCACACATTATCAAATCATCAAAACAATGTATAATACTCCATAACAGGTTCAAACATGAGCAGATAAAGGGCTGCAATCATGGATCCTGTTTTATAACATTGTATCATAAATTCACACATTGTGAGATGATTAATGATCGTTCAATGGGCTGGTTGTCTGATTATACATAGCTAGCAAGCTTGGGTATTAAGTTTCATTACAACTTACGGAGGCTGGCTTGGTACATATTACATCATAAGTTTATTGTCGATACAAAGTGAGTATACCATAGCATTCAATGTAAGTTCAATGCTTATGTGATATATAATGTGATTGTATATAATGTCCAGTGTGTGTACTTCATCAGACATAGTAGTCTTAATGCTCTTCACACATAGTTCTCACAGTGCTCACAGAAAGCACAACCCTTTGGTTATAATGTGGAGTATTGTGTGTGTCTGTGATTGGGCAAGTCCATGATAAAAGTCCATGAAACAATATAATCGAAGGTGATAAGTGTATAAGATGATCGATATGGCTGCGTGTTGAGATGTATGACAGTCATGCAATTGTCGGAAAGTGGTAATCTCTGTTTCAGGTCAATTCTTCCGCCTGGTCCTGAAGTCTTTTGTAATAACAACGTCTGCGGATCAGATATCGTTTTATTGCC